ATGTAACACAAAACAAACAAGGTTGTTTTTGAACAAAAATCATCAAGATCATACCCACAACATTTTCATTTAATAATTCATATTTATTAGAGTTTGATCATGATGAGGAAAAGGTGCATCAACAGGAATGTAAAAAATGCCCCATGTGAGGGATGGGGACAGGAATATGGACCACAGAAAACCAGCTCTTTCTTGCTTCCTACATTGTCTCTGTTCTGAAGACCTCTCTAGGAGTAGGTCTGGAAGAGATATGTACATTTCTGTGCTCCCCAGCTGATATTGGCCTACTCCTTCTTCTTCTTGTGTTCTGGGCTGCAGTTCCAATAGAACAGAACCTGTAGCATGATGATGCTGTTGCAGGTAGAGGAGATAACATAGGTGAGGGCCATCAGTGTGTCCCCAGTTTCCTAGATTACAAGAGTAGATGTTAAAATCTTTTATTTGTGTAACCAAAGAGTTTTCTGTCAGAAACAGTAAATCTCGGTACCATCCATATAAAGGAAGAAAAACTTCTGAACTCGTACCTGTAAAGAGGTGAAGATGCGAGCGAGAGAACCAGCAAACAACAAGAAGACAGAGACAGCAGACAGCTGACCAGTGTGCCCATTACGGTAGTTGGTGGCTGCCTGGATCAACTGAGAACACAAAACACACATATGTTGGTTCTGCCAAGTTTACACACTTTTCATAGTAATCTGACTGAATCCAGATCCCTTGTAAATATTTTTCAGCTTCTCTTTAAAGCAGAGCCATCATTCAATGGATAAAAACTTGATGACCATTAAAAGCAGACAGAAAAACTAAAGATTATCTCAAAAACAAAACTATAAATCAGAAGTCAAAATTCTGATTTGGGACAGGTAAAAAAACAGGTTCTGACTGAGCGACCTTTTCAAGCACCTACAAAGTTGGGTCGAGAACTAAAGGCCAACTCATATTCTAACTGGGCCAGTAAAACTGTCTCTCATTCACATAGTTTGTGATGCAAATCACGCCATTTTCTTCGCAAAGTAGCATTGTTTTCCTCTTTTCAACACAAGGCCTGGGCTGAACCTTTTCTCACAAGAGTATGCGCAAAGTGTTGTGTGACTGGTCAGTAGTGTGATTGGTCAGTAGTGTGATTGGTCAGTAGTGTGACTGGTCAGTAGTGTGACTGGTCAGTAGCGTGATTGGTCAGTAGTGTGACTGGTCAGTAGCGTGATTGGTCAGTAGTGTGATTGGTCAGTTGTGTGATTGGTCAGTAGTGTGATTGGTCAGTAGTGCAGAAAGCCTACACAGTTGGGTCAAAGACAAACACAGATTAACAGATTTATGTTATGTTATATTTAACTTCCTATCTGAAATGTAGGTGTTCAGTTTAGAGGAAGCAGTAATCAGCATTGTTTGATGTACGATAGTTATATATGTATAATAAATAATTCCAAAAATCCCATTATGTTCGATAATTTGACCATTTTAATGCATGGCTGAATTAACACATGGCAGTCTGACATGAGAGCTGGTTGACTGAGGAACACAGTGGGGCAAATTTAGCGACTTTGTCAATGTATTTAGTAAGTTTTCAGACCCTCTAGTGACCGTTTTTCAGAAAAGTGACTAGCACAAAAATCTAGCAACTCTTTTTCTGATGTTATTGAGACTTTTAGAGAGTCTGGCATGAACACAGCTCTCTGATGACCAGCAGGTGTTGCTGTGAGCTCCTCCAAGGTCCCAAAACACCTACAGGTGGATCAGTCCTCACTTAGGGCCTTTCCCAATCAGTGGCTTCACACTCACCCTACTCCCTACTCACTCAGTTTGCGCATTCCCGCGGAGGGTTGGCCATATTAAGTCCCATCCAAAACTGGTTAGGTACGAGGGCGAGTGGCGTACTAAGCCCTCCACAGCGAGTCTACATCCAGAGCAGACTTGAGCAGCAGGTGCAGCACCAAATACTGGTCGTATGGAGCACGGGACATATAAATATAAGTTCCGCAWATGTTTTGTACACATATTTACTAAGTAAACACCTCACCAACAAATATAATTTCACATAAATCATGTTTAATTAAATTAAAACTTTATTAAAGACACAGAACCCTGGTCCATTTTTAAAAGAAGAAGAAAGGAAAAAAGAAAGAAAAAGTAAATAAATGTTTTTAAAAATGTTAAAAGTGCAATTGTTTTGACAAATTATCACACTGTGTTTGTTACAAATATAGTCATATCTGAAAACTAGGGCTGCCACGATTAGTCGATTAATCGACGACTAATCGATTATTAAAATAATCAATGACTAATTTAATAATCGATTAATCGTTTTCGCTTTTTTTGTTGTTCTTTACTTTGTTTTCTTTTCTGTGCATCCCTGCAACCTCCACCCCATCAGAGCGTATTTTCTCTGCAGCAGGTAACATCTGCTCTCAAAAGAGAGCAAGCCTTTCTCCAAGACACGTGGAAATGCTAACTTTCCTGGGTTTGAATAAGAGCCTTGTGCAGTTTGGGATTGTATAYTCAGAGTGTAGTAAGTTGAATAAAGTTGTGAGCACTGAGCACAAAMTGCACTTTTGTTATATTTGAGTCAGCGAGACCAAAACTTTACTTTTACTTTACTTTTTGTGATACCTTAGTTTTAAGTAACTACCTCATTTGATTTAAATGCAGTTATGTTTGATGCCAGAGGCAAATGAAGGCCAGAAAAACCTAATTTTTTTTTTTTTAAATTAATGTATTTATTTTTGTGTCGTTAAAGCCAGTGCCTTATATTTATTTTACTCAGTGGTTTACACTATGTTACAC